GGGGGGGGGAATGTCGCGCCGGTCGGCCAGCCAAAGGAGAGCGCGGGACGCGACGGAGCGGGCTGGACGGTTCGGCCTTGAGCTGAACCGGTCCAATCCTGGACCGGTTTGGCTCGGGTCTGCCCTGAGCTGGGCGGTTCATTTTGGGCAGCCCACTAGTGGGTTTTGTTGGTCTTTTGGCTTGCTTTACGTAAGGAATAGAGGGAGATTTCTAGGGTTATGCAAGATTTGAGTTTTCTCTTAGCCTCCTTAGTTTCTTTCTCTTATTTTTCTAGGGTTTGTAGTGGGAGACCATGTCCTTCTCGAAGTGAACAAATTGTATCTTGTTTCTCTTGAATTTTGAATGCAAATGTTCTTGTTCTTCCTCTCATCCCTCTTGTGTTGATTTTTTCTTGAATTTGGAGGAGAAATTTCATCTTGAAGGAAAATTAGGGCAAACCCTAATTTGTGAAACCTAATGCATATCACTAAGCTCTCTTCAAATACAAGGAAGTAAATAGTTTATCCTTTAGTTGAGAGATAGATCAAACTTGTGTTAATTATGCCTATATCTACCATAACAATTGAAAAAAGCTTTTTTTTTACGATAAGAACTATCAAAAATAAAATGCTTAACAAAAATGGAGAATGACTTTCATCCAAGTGCATTGATTGCGTACATTGAGCAAACTGTTGCTCATAGTTTCAAGTAGATTCTATCATAGACGCATTTGATGTAATGAAAACTCAAACTAAAGTTAATAATGCCTAATTTTGATAGGTTCTGGGTTAAATTATTGTGAAGAAGTACATAAATCTTCAAGTGAACGAAGATCTTTTATTTTGGTTGCATAAACATCTAAAATTTTTATGTTCATTTTTTTTTTAACATGTAATAATAAATTATTGAAATAAAGGAACCAGAACAAAATGTCCTATCCTAAATAGGAGTCACATTATTCATTAACGAATATTCTAGGAACTTCCACTTTAGTGTATGCTTTACATTAAGGAATATTCTAGGAAATTCTAGACCCCAGAGATTGGCATGACCTTCTTTTAGACTACATTTTTGTCCAAACATATGCTGCATGCTGGGGAACAAGATAAATTTTGTCTGACAAATTGAAAGCCTGCAAATGTTTGAAATATTTGCGATTGAACAGTCATTGATTCAGCTATGATAATTCTCCAAGCCCGATGCAGGTATAAATTTTTCTCTCAATCATAGACATACCCATTCTTCCACCTAAGGTGTTCTTTTGTCCAGTGATATTTTTTTTGCTGCATATTGTATGAACACCTATTTCATACTGTACAATATATTAGTCAAATATTATATAGCCTGAGTCCTTGGGATGATCATCTTACTGAAGATCATCTTGTATGATTGTGATCATACTATACGATTTGACCAAACATTTTAACTGGTTAGATTGGATGAATTAACACCTTATTATAAGAATGTTGGATTCATATCGTACTATATGATATGTTGGAGATTTATTTAAAGAGAGGGAATTCAATATTTTCCATCATATATTTCATCCTTCTCAATCTTAACCTTTTCACTCTCAATCCTTCCTCTTTTCAATTGGCTAGTAGAAAGCATTCAAGAGCTTTGTAGGTAGCACTTCTAGACATCATGTAGATCCTAGATTTTATGAAGCTTCCAATGAAGAAGTTGATGAATCTGCACGTCCACATGCATGGCCGGTACATTAACACATGGATTTCTTAAAATTCCTTTTAAGACTGCGACCTTAGGGTCTTGACTTTTTGTTAGGAAAACAAGACATATGGGGGATTAGCTTGGTATAATCTTGTAGAAGATCCGATTCCCTGTCTAAACTTCCACTATTCAATTTGATAACTCTATACCCATTTTGGGTTCTTGATATAAAATAAGCTGTGATTGATCAAGAAGCATTTTCCAGTATTCTTCTTTTTTGTTGCTCATGCATTTTGCAAGAATTTAATTAAGTATTCATTGAATAATTATGATCAGATCAAGATGACAGAAATATTGAATCGTCGATTTATAACCCTGTGAGGGCAGCAATTTCATCCTGATCCCGTTTTAGCATCATTTTCTTATGTAATTTGCACAAATAAAATAAAAACAATCTGTTAGACCGGTCCAAGGAGGACCGGTCCAGCCGGCCCAGCCTCTTGGGCCGGCTCATCTGAATTGCTGAGGAGAAGGGGTGGGGTCCACTTGAAATTTGAATTGATTCTTGGAGCCAAAAGGAGGGGAAGCAAGGGTAATTAGGTCATTTTGTATTAGATTTGAATTGTATGCATTAAGTAGGGAGAAAAGAGGGGAATTAGGGTTATGTCATGCTTGGTGAGAGTTTCTTTTGTCTTCTTGGATAGTGAGGGCTCTAGATCGAAATCTAGAGTTGGGAGAGTGCGATCCTCCTCTCGAATAGAGGATCTTGTATCTTTGCTATTTGTTGTCTACTAGTAAAATACAAGTCTTTTTTCCATAATTTCTACAGTTTTTCCCTATTTTTCTACTGTTTTTGGTTGTTTCTCTGCTGTGGACAGCAGTTTTCCCTTGGATCTACTTGGTTTTGGTGAGAAACACTTGGAAATCCAAGTGTTTCCTATCACAATCCCTCAAAATTTATCCAATAAAACTTTCAAGAACCCTGATAACTGATCATCTCTATTTGAGAACAAAGAATTTGGAATATATCACGATTGGAAACCCAGTGCTATGAATAATAACGAAGAAAGGAAATTAAGTCAGTTAAATTGTAACAATTGGACGAATTTTTCATGCAACATCCATTACGAGGAAGTCTTCAATAGAAAAGGGAATATTAGTTATGTAATGTGTATGATACTTATTTTCGATGTGTATTCTGCAAACAAAACACGTATAAAAAGAGCTTACCGAAGCAAGGGCCAGAATTGTGAAGAAGTTCATATGCTGGGAGTGATTATAAAACCATCGTTTTGTTTTCTTCAAGAAAGAAGATAAAAATCCATCTTCTTTTGTTGAAACAGCAGCCAAATCCTCCATGGCATCCACACTGTTTCCTGATAGCCGTGCTGCAATAAGCAATTCCATTGTCAAAAGAAATCAGAAGTAGGAAATAAACAGCACAGTATCAACCAACCAAAAGACAGGCTAGGATTAGACCTGTCAATATTTGATCCGACCCGAAAACCCGATCCGAACCCGACCCGGAATTTTCGGGTTTGGGTTGACCCGAATCCGAAACGGGTCGGGTTCGGGTTCGAAAAATCGACCCGTTTGCAAAAACGGGTCGGGTTCGGGTTGACCCGGCGGGTTGCCGGGTCAACCCGAAAACCCGTTTATTTAAAAAAAAATTGAATTTTCGGAATTTGCCTATCCCGCCCGCTGCCCCCGCCCAGGCGCCCGCTGCCCGCTGCCCGCGCTGCCGCGCTGAGCCGGGTCAGTTACGGGTCTGGTCGGGTTCGACCCGTAACCCGAAATTGACAGGTCTAGCTAGGATGCAAGGTTTAAAATTGTGCAATTGGGTATTCAGGCATTTTTCTTCGTGAGGCGAGGCGTCAAAATTACAAAATTGAGTGAAGTGAAAATAAAGGTTAAAAGTAAATTTTTTATATAATACCTAAATAATATATTAAATAATTACATATTAACTTTCTATTAAACTATGAAGTAACAAATTGACATATATATATATAACAAAAAATTGCACAAAGCGTAAAGTGGAAACTGATAAATTGCATGAAATATAATTGATATCATAATATTACAAGAGCAAAATAATATGAAATATAGGAATTACGTAAAAGTATCCTATAACATCAAGTTCAACTCCAAATTTATTTTTTCTAAGTTCCTCACTCACCCGCATTTAATTCTTAAAAAAAGCTGACATAATTGACAAAAACTCAGAAATCATATGTACTATCATCATTGAGGGGATCCTTATTTGAGTCATCATCATAACAAATTTGTCTCTCCACTACCTTATCCTGTGGAGTTCAATGCCTCTTAATATATTTCTTCTTCATTTATTTTAATCATTTTTTTCTTTCATAAATATTTGTCATCAACATAAAGATGAGAATAATACTTCAAAATTTTTTGAGTTGGTGGTGCGCGGCATTCAAGTGATTCTCGGGGGTGGCTACAACAAAAGCGGTGGGCTGAAGGTCAAGGCGGTTGAGATGAAGTTGTTGAGGCTTTAGGGTGCATGAAGGCATATTTGTTTGGTGCTTTAGTTTATAATTTACGTAAGTTTTAATAAAAAAATATATAAATAGGGTGAGGCGTATGCCTCACGCCAATAAGGCAAGGAGCACCTCAAGGCGGGTCTCAACCAAGCTGAGGTGCAAGCCTTATAAAAAAAGCTTGAGGCGTAAGCCTTGAGGTATTTTTCGCTGGAATTACGCTGAAGTGGGCCTTAAGGCAAGCCTCATGTTGCACAATTTCAAACAATGCTAGGATGATTTATTAAAATCTAGATAAATCATTAGAATGGAAGATAAACAATCTAGGCAACCAACACAATCAGAAAATATGTTTATACTCAAATCTAACTCCTAAGCGGTAAGTTGCATGAATCCTTTAGAAGGCCGTCATCCACTGATATTCCCATTTCTTTTTTTAAAGAGCTCTTCACCCACAAGGCCTCGACAACTTGTATTATGATAAATCAAAGGTTCTAAAATCCCAAACAGCTAAAATTGCAAATGTCCACCAGAACATTCATGATGACTAGCATTATGCTTGATGGTTTGACAAATCTATGTTTGTATCAAGCATTCAAATAAATGATGTGGCGAGCAATCTAATAAAAAATAAGGTGTAAATGAACCTAATCAGAAAAAAAATTAGGGCTTTGTTTGTCTCAGTTTCTTAACTATCGAGTCAAACATGAATGAGCTTAGAAATCAGGTTCAAGTTCATCTCATTCATTATCAAGCCGAACATGAACCCTGCTTTCAAGCTATAATGTGCCAATACTTTGTAATAACGAACCATGTCGTGTTAGACACTTGTACTTACCTGACACGCACATGACACGTGTCAAATATGCTAAGTGTCCGATTAAAGAAAATAAAAAAAATAATCAAACACGCATCCATTATGTATACCCTAAATAATAGATGTTAACTTAATAATATAAATAATGTAATCCACCAATTCTATTTTATTTTAAAAATATATTACATAAATGACATACCTTGGTGTATGCTTTTTGCTGATGATATTCTTCTTGTTGATAAGACTAGAGAGGGAGTTGTAGGTAAACATGAATTATGGAGGTCATCTTTAGAGTCTAAAGGTTTTCGCTTGAGTAGATCTAAAACTGAATATATAGAGTGTAATTTTAGTAGCAATAGATCTAGTGAGGGGATTGTGACTTTGGGCGATCAAGTCATTAATAAGAGCCTCAAGGCGCGCCTCTAATTGCGCAATTTTAAACAGAGGTTTTTATGTTTATTCTCAATTTGAATAAAATAATTGATTCAAATACATAAATTTCATTATTTTATTTGACCCAATTTTCATCCACTTTTCATACTCCCTAATAAGTTTTATTATGATCAATATAGAATAACATTGAGAAGACTGGCCAAAAGTGCAAAAAAAAAGTTAATTATATAAAATTTCTTATATTTTAGCCTCAGTAAAAAATTATGTTGGTGTCAAAATTTTATATAAAAGTATAATAATATAGCATATTTTTCAAAAAAGACAATATCTTGCAGGCAAAGAGCAGTTTAGAGTGGCAAAGCCAAAAGTACAACAAACTAAATTGCAATCCATCAAACTCCTTAAAGAAAGGGTAAGCCAACCATTTATGAAAAAAAAAGGCAAGGAGTCGAACATAAATTTATCTTATTGATTGACACAACAAAAAAAATATTAAGAATATATGTTAATTTAGAATAAGAATGTTATATTTAATCTATAAAATTATGGATTAGTATACGATTTTTAAAATCCTTTGCTCTGGAAGTTGAAATTTCAACTTGGTTCTATCATCTTTCCATCATTTTAAAGTAATGCTCACTTAAACATTTAACACCATATCAACACATAACTAACAAGGAACCGTGTGCATTTCAATGTACTATGTATTTATGATCAACCCTATTAACCATGAATTGAATTATTTTGGTTTGCATTTCTTTCTATAGTGCATATTTCTTTGCAGTTTTCTACTTCAGATTTTCTTTTGCTCATTTCATAACATCTTTAGTGGACAGACTTCAAATTCAACTAATACTATTTGATACTCATCAGTTGCTTCCATGTTAGGCATTCTCCAAAACATATTTCAAATGTTGCTTCGTCATTAATTTTGTTTTATTAGATACAAAATTCATATGGTACAACACTCATTCTATTTGAATGTTAATCAAGTTCTCATAGATTTTTTAAACTTTTAATAGTGTCTGCCTAGTGCATGTACAATTAAATTTGTGTATATAAATAGATAAAGTATTATCCTTCTATATGGATACCTCTCCAAATTATTTTATTTTAACTTGCTTTTCAATCATGTAATATTCAATCGAAAAATCTAGACCAACTTAAGATAATCTGATCATGCATCAAGCATACAAATAAAACACCATAATGAAAGGCATAGACAGTGAGAGACTATTCATCAATTTAATGTGTAGGAGTATCTAAATCAAAAAAAAAAAAAATGGTAGGTAAATTAAGAAAATTAGAAAATTTTCAATGAATACGATTTTTTAAAAAGTCAAAATAAATTGTACATTTAGTGATGGGAATTACAAGACAGCCATTTTTTTAGCTAGTTGATCAAAAGCTACTTAGGATATAAATCAACAGTTTCATTCATGAAAGCTTATAACATTAAAAAGTAAAAAATATGGAAAATGGGCTTTCCCATATGAAAGGATAGTGTACGTAATCATTAACCAGACCTCAAATAAGAGGGTGCAACCAAATGTAAGCATTCAAATAAATAAAATAGTTAACAGCAATAAATGCTAACGATGAAATCATATATGATAAAATACTTAAAAATAATGACCGTTAGGCAATGAAAGAATGAAGGCACCTGCTCTTGAGATAAAATATGGAGGAAGTTCCCCGAGGGCTGTTCCAAAGCCCCAAAGAACAGCCTCTAGCTGAACTTGAGGTAGTATGCTGCTGATTGGAACCCGAACCAGTGAACCAGGTAATGATGAAAACTTGGGAGGGCCATAGACCGAGCAGTCATTTTCAAGCCATGAAGGTCTTTTATTGAATTGTATGGTATCATATGGAGCAGATTTAAAATCAACTCGTCCACACTGCATGGCTTTTATGGTGAAAAAAGCAATATGGGGTCCCAAATACAGAACAAACGTATGCAAGCCAGACCCTGTCATAGCATAGTAAAAAGAAAAGCTGGTCAGCAATTTGGAAATTTCAACAACAGAGAACTTGTATGGTTTTTATTTTATTCAAATTAAACTAGTGAATGCTCAAGTTAACCTAGATCTACAAGTGAAAGTTAACAACAGTGCAAAAGACAAGTTTTCAGATCATAAAAGCCTTAAAAGAATCTATATCGATCTGCTTAATCAAAATCCAACAAGACAACATTTGGAAATACACTTCCTTCTCTAAGTGCCAACCGGCATAAGAACGATCCCAAATAAAATAATTTAGCATAGTAAAAATTTCAGCAGCTTGACATAAAGTGTAAGGATGAGGTTCCAAACAAAGGAATATGGGTGCAAAGCACAACTGAACGCAAGACAAACAAAATCAGAGTTGCATGGATAAGACATGTATTTGATTTGAGTTGCACTACATCTGTAAATTAAAATTGATTGAGCAAAAAAGTAAAAACTACCCAACTATAGCAACTGGAAATGAATAATCTGAGTTTGAAGTATGGATATATAAAACAAGTGGAGGAAGGAAAAAGTGGAGCAGACCACGGTGGATGCAAAGGTTAACCGCTGTTCAAAAGATGGATACTGATCCTTAACAGCATGTCATCAGCTTCGGTTGTATCAGCAATATTCACTATCAATCTTTTAGCAAGCTGCATTTGCTTATAAATCCAGCTTAATTAAACCTTTTAGTTCAACCATAGTCCTGTCAAACTTTTGTAACATTTGGAGTGCATAGATACAGTAGTTGTACAAGAACCCAAGATGGATACTGACCCCACTCCTTATCTTGGGTTCTTGTACAACTATTGTATCTATACACTCCAAAAGTTACAAATGCCTGATTTGTCTCAGTTGAACTTCGCATCACCATATATTAAGCTACTAGTTATAACTTGTCCTCACCAGATCCTATTCACACTTTGTTGAAAATAATCATTCCCAACTTTACTTTTTCTATTTGTAACTCACAGCTGCCTTAAAAAAATTTTTGTTGCAACAGCCAACTTGTTTGACTATGAGAATCTGTATATTTTTTACTTTTTTTAATCAGCTTTATTTTCTAAACAGCTCATGGCAAATCTAGTCTACTGAAGTGAAGAGACAGTACTCATCAACCTTATCATTACATGTACACATGAAACCATATGCACTATAGCCTATTTGAACATAATAAAAAAAATTACATGTTAAAAGTAAGTCAGTAATTGATTTTTGACAGTTCTTCAAATACAAATATGTTTCCCTATAAAACGCACATATTTCTAAAGGGTTATAGTACCGTGCTAGATATCATTTTCGACACTCAAGCGCACTAGAATAGAGTTGTTAAGTGGGTAAAACAACCCTATTAAGCCCACAAGCCCCTCTCAAATCCCTAATGGGTACTGTCTTACTCTAATTGGCTAATGACCAACCCATTATCCCATTTATCATTTAAGTCCTACCATAGTCCAAACAATCATTATGAAGAAACAACAACAACAACAACATCAAGCCTTTATCCCACTACGTGGGGTCGGCTACATGAATCTTTTTATCCATTGTGTCCTATTAAAAGTCAAATTCTCGTTTAAATCTAATAAAGAAAGGTCATTCCTAATATTTTCTAACCAAGTCTTTTTAGGTCTACCCCTACCTTTCTTAACATAAGTCAAATCTAATACCTCTACTCTTCTAACCGGGTCATCGCAAGGCCGCCGTTTTATGTGACCAAACCATCTAAGGAGACTTTCTCTAATCTTATCTTCTACTGGAGCTACTCCAATCTTTTCACGTGTATGCTCATTTCGTATCCTATCTCTAAGGGTAAAGCCACTCATCCACCTGAGCATCCTCATCTCTGCCACACTTAACTTAGTATTATGCTTTTCTTTTAAAGGCCAACATTCGGCACCATAAAGGATTGCAGGCCTCACTACCATCTTATAGAATTTTTTCTTAAGTTTGAGGGGTACATTTCTATCACATAACAAGCCCGATGCATTCCTCCACTTCAACCATCAATCTTGAATTCTGCTGATAATATCCCCATCTATTTCACCATCACTCTGAACAATAGATCCAAGATATCTAAAACGTGTACTCTTATTAATGACTTGATCGCCCAAAGTCACAATCCCCTCACTACTAAAATTACACTCCATATATTCCGTTTTAGATCTACTCAAGCGAAATAATAATAAGAAACTAAAAATAATAATAATAATATTCAATATATGATTTTAATGGATGATGATGTAGACACACAAGAAATAAAATGACGCAATTGGTAGAACTTAAAATAAAGTTTATTAAAATAAAAGCAGACAACTAAAACTTGACAAACACAACAAGAAATGCTAGGAGATTTTAAAGAAATAAAAAAAGGCGCCATCCTCAGACAACCGTCAGAGCGGGTTCCTCGCATGCATCGAATTGTAGGTTAAATAAGAAAAGTGCATAGAACTAGCAAACCGATGGTCCACCATTGCAAGATTAACCAATCTTTTCAACAGATGCTTCAAATCAAGCTAGATACGACACCCTAAAGTTGCTTTACTTTTGAGAAGAAGGATACAGATGGAGTGGCACTTGCGGAGAGATGAAAGAGGTTAAAAGGCAAGAAGAAGGGTGGAAATAGCCCGCATGATTTCCGGAGGGGATGAGAAAGAAGGGTGGAAAGAGCCCGTGGGATTTTCAAGCAAACCCGCAGGTTATAGCAAATATGCTCAAATAATCAACTCCCTTTCCTTCACAACATCTTCTCTTATTTATAGGCATGGTAGAGGAATGCCAAGAGCCACATAGGAATTCCAAACATTATAATTTATTAAAACACAATTGCTTTTCACAGAAAAACAGTCCAAGGCAAGAAACCGAAGAGACATCCACGGGAGCCAAGGAGACCACACAGGAGCCAAGGAGACCACACGGAACCAAGTGGCCACGGTTTCGGGAAAGAGCCCAGGCACGGAAAAACAACAGTCGGCCGGATTTCAAGAAGCAAGGCTCGGAAAAATAGTAACTCCATAATGAATCCAAAGCATAGAATTCAGCCCCCATTAAACACTAGCCACGGTTTTCCAAGAGACAAGAAGAAAGGGGAGGAAAAGGGACAAGTCCACTCCATCATTGAATCCTTTTTAATGAGCTACCTTTTGGAAATTAATGAGCTACTAAACTTCAGCTCAAGCAACTTAAGAGAATGAGCTCCAACCCAACCTCCTCCAACCAACCCGTGAACCAGCAGAAGCAAATGGACCAATCAAGCTAGCAAACCAAAGGTCTACCAAGCTCTATGCACAACTTACCATGATCATTAGATGCTTTCCCATCATTGGATAGCTAAAAAAGAAAAG